TTGCGAACTCGATGGGACCGATCGCTCATCTCGCTTGGGACAAAACATTACGAAGGGAAACAGAGAGTTTGCAATCCCATCTTGGTGAGACCGAGATCCCTATCGGTGAGACCGAAGTGACTAGGGTTTCTGGCAGTGGCTATGTCAAGTGAACTCGGTGGCGCTGGATAGAACATTTCGGTGGGGCCGAGTTTGACTTTTGGTTTGGGACATATGTGGATATGAGAAAGTGGTTGAGGGTTTTTGGAGCATATCACTAAGCATTTTGAGCAAGTAAGCCATTAAGCAACACCTCATACCCTTTTAATAGTATTGGCTTTTCCTATGGACTCAATGTGATCTTGGATCACTAAAATGAAAATGTAGAGTCTTGAGCTTGAGCCAATGTGTGTCCTTAGCATTTTGAGGGGTCCACATTCCTAATCCATGCCATGCCAATCATTGAACTTTTTGAAATGATCATCTTGAAATAGTATTAGTTCAATGAGCTATATGTTGTTAGTAATTACCAAAACCACCCAGGGATAGTTGCACTTTTACCATGCGATAATGACATCGTAAAACCAAGTGGGGCCAGCAAGTATCTCTCTGTCATGAGAGGATCAAATCCTAGTCTTCAACTATCGATACCGAGACATGCGTTTTCGGGCTTCCGACATACCGGTAGTCACCTTTACTCACATCCAGTTATAGAGTGACGTTCGGTAACCCCAAAGTAACCATCCAACATGTTGACATATGATATTCTTATGGTCTAAGGAACTTAGTAATCATGAACAAGTTATATGAAAATACCAACAACATAACAACGATAAAATCTCTAAGTAATTCATAAGTTGGGTCCATCCAACACCACTGTTTCGATAACAACGTGTTCTCATTATTCATAGCATCCTTGTTACAATAACAATGCTTATAATTAGGAAAACAAGATCATCATCAATACATGAGTTAGTTTAGAGGCATGAGTAGGGATCATATTGGTGTTTATGTTTCCACACATGTATTTGGGTTTCCCTCTAAATCTCATATACAAAAACTAATAGAATTGTAGCACAGAAGTATAAACTTAATAATGAACATGGAAATATAATAATACAAATGTTATTGCCTTTAGGGTATGTTTCCAACAATTCTCCACTCTAGTTGCTTCAAGACTTCATCAACCAAAACCAACACATGAGCTCAATGATCTTGTCTTGAAACCATAACTTAAATTCTTCTCTTAAATAGTTCTCTTGGGTCCTTGATCTTTATAAGCCTAAACGTGTCAACCTTTGAGATCCTCCAGCGAACTCCATCTTGAACATATTTGTTTAAGCATTGAAATCAATCTTGAGGGGCAGCTAGGGTTGAGGCCCGGTCTGACTTAAATAGCCGACTTTGACCCCTCTGGCGACGTAGGAGCGACGACATATGAATGGCGATCAGTAAGATCTAGTTAGACTGATGGTATCTCTGCGTATTTTTGTGTGGGTCCCACCCATCGGTCTGATGTGGTAGATACGTCCGGCGCACCCGGTCCTCCCCATATATGGGGTGGGTATGGGTGGGGTGCCTAACAGCCCATACATGTAGGGGCCGGTTTTAGTCGTCTGGGTGGATTGCATTTTCAAGACCTGTCACTGCCCGGGCCATTCATCCGGATGTACATGTGGAATTTGATGGGTCCATTGTAGATGCTCTTATAGCATGTATTTATTCACCCATGAAATCAAACATGCCCTTAGTTGTCTGTGTTGGAATTGCCTACGTGAACAGATCCCTAGCGCCAGCCTTATACATCTGGGCTGTCACCTGCTCCTCCTTCTCCCCCCTTCAGAGAGTTCGGAGGCAAGTCGACTGCAAAGTGAGCGGCGCGCGGTGCCTGGACTGGATGGCCTCCATCTCTTCATGGATCTTCACCCGATGCTGCATGGACATCATCTTGTAGTAGGTAATCTTTTGGCAACCATGGCTACCGGAGGATGGCGAGGTCGGCATGGAATAGGGTGTGGACGAGGTCGCGGCAGCGACACGGATGGGAGAGAGGGGGAGGAAATGGGGGCAACTAGGGTTGAGGCTCGATGTCCAGCTTAAATAGCCGACTTTGGCCCCTCGGCCAGCGCGCAAGAGCGACGACATGAATGTGGAGCGGTGAGCTCCCGTCGAACCGAAGGGTTTCGCGTGTTTTCGTGTGGGTCCATTCCATCAATCCGACATGGCGGACGTGTCTGAGTGCGCCCGGACCTCCTAATATCCGCTCATATACGGGCTGGTCTAGGGGTGTCGGACAACCTAGACGTATAAGGATGGTTTGAGAGGTCTAGTTAGGTCACATTTTTTTTAATTATAAAAAACAACGTGTCTTTATTCTTCCCGCAAAGAAAACCAAAATGTTTTTATTCAACGAGAAAACTACTGTCATGAACCAACCTGTGATTGGATGGTTAGAAGGACAGTGGTATCCCCCCAACCGGAGTTCAAGTCCTAGACTTTACATTAGTGCTCGCATTATTTCTGGATTTATTTCAGGCTTCATGCGATGTTCGTGTAGTGGGAGGAGACATTCCCGTTGACTGCGAGGCGTCTATGGTGACTTTGTAAAATCTCAAGATGCTATGTCGGCTCAGTCTCTCGAAGGTGCTCATAGGGGTATGGTGTGTGTGTGCGCGTTCATAAAGTGAGTGTATGCTTATGTATATTTTTCTCGAATACGCATGACCCATAGGGGTAGGGTGTGTGTATGCGCGTTCATAGAACCGAGGATATGCTTATGTGTTTTTTTCTTAAATATGCACAAGCATGCGTATCATATGTTATAAAAAGAAAAGGGGTGGATAGCCCCTACACATGAGTTTGTTACAAAACACCCAAATCAACGCTTATACATCATAGTGGGTTATCTACTCCCGACCAACCCACCGTGCCAACGCTCGAAAGAAGCTCTCTAGTCCGCCCTTCAGCAAGCCCGCTTGCTTCCATGCCCTTCCTTCCTCCAAGATCCTCTTACCAACTCTGTGGAGTGATGGTGACACTCTGTCAAACACTATCCTATTTTTGTGCTTCCATTACTCCTATAGGACAAGGGTGAAGATAGCCCTCTATTCCTTGCATCACCCGTCCCCGGAGTCCTTCGTTGCACACCATTCATTGATGATTGCGGTCACCGTTTCCCCAAAACCTGCTGCCTTCGGCTAGAAGGCCTCAAATCTGAACCTACACCCACCTTCCAGTCCGCGTTTAAGTCGAGTAGCAAAGGGCAGTGATCCGAGATGGCCGAGCCTATGGCACCAAGGAAGCTGGAAGGGTGCATGTCGTCCCAGTCGTTTGTGGTAAGCACGTGATCAATCTTCTCCAAAGTGGCATGCTCGCGCTCATTTGAGTGTCTGCTGTTAAGGTACATCTCCTTGAGCTCGAGACGGTTCAATGTTGTGCGGAAGCGTGCCAGCATCCTCCTATTCACCGCCATGTTGTTTTTGTCCTCGGGGTTGAGTAGGAGGTTGAAATCCCTTACGACAGTCAATGGTCCACCGTGTAGATCTCTGACCTTATAGAGCTCCTTCATGAACGCGATTTTTTCCACGTCAAGTTGGGGGCCATAGGCATCCATGATCCATCATTGGGACTATAGCTTTGACGAGCGTCTCCCGTTATGCTTGTGTATGTTAGCGTCTTCGATTGTACTGTGTTAGAAAAAGTTCAGAAAAAAAAACTGATATAGGCATGATGATTTTTTTCCATTTGTGAGGGGATGTGCGCACGATGAGTTAGTCTGCACGACCATTGCACGATGGCCCATGTAGCGTTCAGTTGTCATGCAACTTTAGGCTTGATCGCATTGTCGTCCAAAAATCGTGTGTATAATGTCGTGTGTATAGTAGTGTAGCCCACCACCCCACGCCAGCACTGCCGCCCCGCCCGGCGCCACGGCCGAGCGCGCGCTGAGCTGCAAACCCTCCTCTTTATTCGACATTTCCTCTGACGCCGCCATCTCCCTGCCCCAAATGCACCGCCTCTCATCTACTTCGCGACTTCCCATCTCTTTCATGGCATCTGCCCCGCCTCGCTAGTGGCCATCAGCGCTTGCCCGACGAGTTACCCCACTCTTGGCGGCTCCAAATCCACCTGCCCGTCGTCTTTCCCGGTGTGTTTTCTTGTTCTGATGCTAACGTTTGCGCCTTTACCTGGTTGTTATAGTTTTCTTTAAAGGAGTTTGGCATAGTTTTAGATGCGGATTATGACCAATCATTTTTGAGGCTTACATAATGGTTACATCACGATTTCAGTCCTTAGGCTGGTCACAATGGGCAAGAACATAGTCTAGTAACTTACACATTTTCCTAGACTATGTTACTACCTCCACAGTGGGTAGGAACATCTATGTAGTGTCATGCAACAATGTATTTATTAGGTTGTAGACTCATTGTTTCTTGGAGTGTGTGATGTTTCGGTAACTTAGCTAGTTACCACAAGCACCTCTCTCTTCATTAAATATGTGACACATAAGCAAAGTTGTATTGGAGTGTGTGATGTTACTCCTAAGTTCCTTCCCATTGTGACCAGCCTTACCCGATGATTACAATCCTATTTATGTCCGATACTGAGGTTGGATTTTTATGCTATTTTCGTGATAGATTTCCTCATGGATCTTAGAACCTGGCCACCGTCAGTCAAGTACAAGGCGATGAGTCTGGTAAACCATATAGACGACTGCCCATCTCGATCGCTCAAATCATGAAAAGAATGAAAAATACTGGGACGAGGGACACTGTCTTGGAGGTTATAGATGAAGACGAGGGGAAAAGTGATAAAGAAGCTTGTAGGACAACCTCAAAATCGATACATGGGGCCAAAATGTGAACATACCGGGTTTTGAGGAAGACCAAAGTAGGGCAACCAAGAATCACATTACTGGAATCGCTGTCAGTGAGGATGAAGGACTCAGTGATGATGAAAGATTTAGTGTGAACGGTATACTTGCAAAAAGCAGACATCGTGACGGTTCTATATACAGGGGTATGGATTTATTTCATTGGAAAGAAGAGTATCGTATTGCAGACCGTAATGAGAGTAAGTGACCAATATATCTTTCCTATTTTTATTTTTATTGTTAGAGATATGATTAGTTTTCTTAATCAGTGGCACCTCTTTCCATATCCTACAGCTGTACAGATTTGATATTGATCATATAGATTACTTTTACAGAGACAATCCTAGCTGTTTGATCATATATGATCATATTGATCATAATTGCTGTTTGGACAAATAGCAATTGGTGCCCAATTTCCCATGAAATTGACATGTAGAGTATTGATGACATTGACTAGGACTTTATTCCATGCTACGTGACTCCGTAGATGCCCAATTTCCATGTGAGGCTGAATAAATTAATGCTTACTGCCTAAATTTGCTTACATATCAAACCGTGCAACAATATATACGAACGACATAGTACGTAGGAAAATGGCAGTTGTAAATTCAAATAACAGTATAAATATGTACAGTCACACTGCTGCAGTTAATTAGGTTTAAAGCCTTTATATACAGCCTGAAGCAACCAATAATACAAAGGGTTTCAAGTCCTCATAAATTTCACATACTTACATAACCTGAAGGACTGCTAGTTATGAAAGGAGCCAACCAAACCTTCAATGCCCTTGTTTAGCACGAGGTTTGGGTTGCCACTTCCAAATTTATACTATCCCCCAATACATTTATCAATTTCTAGCAAGCAAAGTTTTAGTTTTTTCTCACTGATTGATAACAATGTGGGGTGGAGCCAGGATGAAAACTGAGAGGGGGCAAAGATGTGTAGGAACTTCTTTTGCCGGAAATGCGTGTAGGAACTAATGGCTAGATCATTTACAGAAACTAACCAGACAACTACACAAGCATGATCATATATTTCCTTATAATATAATTTCATCATACATAATTATGATAAGTTCATTACCAAAGTAAAAGTAAACTAACCATTTTAAGATACAGTGACTTGAAAAATAGCAATATGTTGTTACTAATCGTCTTGAATAAATTTTTTAACCTGTAAACTGTAAGAAATGAGGATGTTAAAATCTAGGGAGAATGTAAACATTGATAAATAAAGAAATAAGCTTGAGCGCATTACCTCCTTCCGTTTCATCCCATGTCAATTTTTTGCATGGAAGGCTTTAACTATCACCTCATTAGGGATGTTATCCTACATTTCCTTTTATAGGAAACAAATTAGGCTACAGTTCAAAAAATCATCACCCATTTTGTTACATAAAGTTTCTTCACAAACTTTATAGCTGAGAAGCATCTCTCGCTGCAGTGGCTACAGGAAGAGTTAGTACTAGCTTTAAAAGTTGATAGACAAAAGGATAGGAGTGATTCTTCTTTGTAGACACCATCAGTTTAGCCAGATAATTAATAGTTTCCAATCTAGGTAATCTTGTATCATCGTTTACATTATGTATGGGCAAAGCTCTTGCTCAAGATGGTTCACTTATCATCGCTGAAGTCATTAGGATAAAACTTGGCCAACTTCATCAGCTTCTCATCATGATAATGTCTAAATTGATCACTTGGATTGAAAGCACACATGCAACGAAGCAACTCATTATTTACCTCATTGAATATGCGATTTAATTCTTCTCCCAACAAATCCAAGACAACAAAAGAACAATCAACCCTATAATGGTGGTCCTTTGCCTTGGCTCTTTTGGATCACTGAAATGTCATTCTTGTCGCAGAAAGAACATAATCCCTCCGATCCAAATTAATTGACGCAACTTCAGTACAAAGTTGTACTAAAGCTGCGTCAATTAATTTGGATCGGAGGGAGTACCTTGTTCAAGGAGAATTCCAGCCATACTCAGACCTAAGCTTCCCTAGCTCTTGCTTACAAATTCCAGTGATATAGCATTTACAATGTGCCTATTCTTTCTCTGAAATGTTTTGATAGCCCATTTATCAAAGCTAATATAATAATCATCATTGAGGAAAGAATGCGAAATCAAATGACTAAAACTATTTAATAGACCATTGACTTGACATTGCTTGTTAGAATCTGTGCCCTCTTCCTCCACACATGTTCTAGTACTTTTACCACTGAGGTGAACATTGCTCAACAAAGTGGTACAGTGAGAAGTCCATTAGTATCTCCCGGTCTTTGAAGAGAAAGCTCTTGGTTAAAACCAGAAGCACACAAAGGCGGAAGGGAAGAGAGCTGAGGGATGGTGCGCTCTGGCGACTGCCCTGGTGACTCGCCTCCCGCCGTGGCTCCGCCCGTGGTGGCCGGCGCGCTTAGCCCCGCCGTCCCTGTGTTGTGCCCGCCCCCTCCGCCGTCGCCGGAGACGCTTCCCTCCCCCTCGGTCGCTGTGCTCCTGGCCGCCCCGCCGAGGATTCGGTGGGCCGACCTCGCCGAAGACGACTCCGATTCCCCCCTCGCTTGCCCCTCTGATGCTCGTTCGGCACGCCCCTCCCCAGCCCCTCGGCGAGTCGTGCCGCCCTGCGTGGCTGGTAGCTTAGCCTCCCCTGTGCGAGGCTCGGCTATTAGCTCGCAGCAGCCGCTGCGCTCTGCCCCGGCGCCTGGGCCGCAAGACGCTGTCTTGCGGGGCCGCGGTGCTCGACGACGTAGGCTGTGTGCCTGGGGCGTGGCTGGCCGCTCGGAGATGGGCCTGGCCAGTGAGTCTTGGCGCCGGTCGGTGGCAGGATCTCCCCTCTCGCCAGCGTCGCACCCGCGGTCAGCTCGCCGTGCGGAGATTCTTGCCGGCCCGCTCGTGCGCTCCTCCCCCTTTCGCCCCTTCATCGCCAACTTTGGTTCGTCAATGCTCGCTCTCCGTTCGTCTCAGCCCCCCAGCCGGACCTAGCTGGCCTCCCCCCACATCCTCGCGCTGGCGGCGGCGGCGGCGGTGGTCGCCTGTGGAGGGGAAACCCTGTCGGCAACCACCCCGCCCCCCTGGGCCCTGTCGCGCGTGGGCGTGGCCTGCTGGGCCCGTGCCCGGCCCAGCGGCCCGTTGCCCTGGCTAGGCCTCCCGCCTGCAGCTTGGGCCGGCCTGGCCATGTTGGGCTGTTGCGGTGCCCTAGGCCCGTTGTGGCGGCCTCTGGAATTTGGCCCCCTTACGAGTTTCCGCTTGCATCGGCTCCCCTCTCCGCCGCCACATCTGTTTCCCTCTCGCCTTCCCGCACGCTCCCTCCGACGCTCCATCCCCGCCGCCCGCGCTGTCCTCTTGCGCCCCGACCTCCCCTCCTCCTCCTCCCCCCCAACCCGTCCGGCCATGACCCGGGAATGGGACGATGGGGAGGCTCGCCGGAAATGTCGTTATGAGGACCGGCCCCGCCCGTCCCCGGACGCTGTCCGCCAGTAGGAGGAGCTCCGGCGGGAGCTCCGTGCTCTTCGGGATGGCCACCGTGATGACCGCCGCTCGGACCGGCACAGCCGCTCCCGCTCTCCTCCGGGCGCCGGGGTCGAT